TGCCGCACACCCCACCCCACTCACCATGCCCGCTGCCCCCACTGCCGCCGCCTCCATGGCAGTGTGCCGCTGCTGCACGCCTTGCCCCGCCCTGCCCCACCCACCCCGCACCTGCTGCCAGTGCTTCCCCTCCAGCAGCCACAGCTGCCTTGCTTTCCACTTTCCCTCCCTCTTTCTTCTATGCTGTCTTCAGTCTTCACTTCTCCCTCCCTCCACGTATGTAAACCATCTGCCATCTTTGGTGGATTAATTTGCATACTTGCTCTGATTGGCTGGTGGGCGTGGCTTGTGGGTGTAACAGTGATGGTTAATTTGCATATCACTTTATTATTAGGTAGGATGTGTTGATGCTTAACAAATTGAATGGATGTATATATATGTTTAACAAATTGGATGGATGTACACACACACACACACACACACACACACACACACACACACACTGACGGTTATAGGAACAGCCTTGCTGGGTGACTCTGCCTCAGTCCCTTGTCAGGTTTCAGTGAAACTTTTGGCTGTTGGCCAGGGCTGCAGCCTCACTTGCCCAGAGTCTCTGCCACCCTCACCCTGTTGGCAGGAGCTTCAGTTCCTGGCCTCGGGCGTCTCATAACAAGATTTTCCCAGAGAGTGAGGAGAGAGAACCGAAAGGGAAGCCCACGTGTCTACTGCCTAATCGCAAAGGGGACAGGTCGTCATTCCCACATCGTCTATTGGTCTCACAGACCAGCCCCGATAGGAGTGGGAGGGGCCACAGGAGGCCATGATGCCAGGAGGCAGGGTGCTCGGAGCCTCTTGGAGGCCCCCTAACAGAGATGAACTGTGCCGTGTTCCTGTTCCCACGTACACCCCACGTGTGTTCTCAGGGAAAATCTCCCCTCTCCTTCAAACAGGTCTCACTTCGTTAAATCCATCCTCAGTTCCTCACATCTGTTTGGCTGCTATGGTGAACGGGATCTTTTTCTCTTGGCATTTTCTAAGTCATTGCTGTGCTCAGACAGGGACACTATTGATTTTTATGGCCATAATTTGTCAGTAGAGCTTAACTGGTGACAAGGCAAAAACCACTCCACTTTCACTGAGCCCTGGGATTGCGAAACCGAGACCAGCTGAGCTCCCAAATGTGCCCTTGGGAGCGGCTCCCCACGTGACTCAGTGCAGGGGAGGTGAGCACGCATAGGAGAGCCTTCCTGTAGCTGCTGCTCTCGTGGTGGCTGTGCCCAGGGTTTCCAAGCCGAGGTGATGGGGTTCTCTGGCCAACATGGACCCCACCTTGGGGGGAGCCTGTGGCAGCTGTGAGAGGACAGCCGGGCGTGCTGCCTAGTGCTGCCTAAGTCCACCGAGTCAGCCCCTCTGTCCATGACTTCAGTGCCTGTCTCCAGCAGCCTCTGTCCAGGATCCTGTTCTGGATGCCTCCCCGGTGTATGCTCAGCTCTAATCAACTCACTTTGAAAGTTCCTCATCCATTCCCCCTTCTTTTTTTAAAAAAAAAAATATATATTTTATTGATTTTTTTATAGAGAGGAAGGGAGAGGGACAGAGTTAGAAACATCGATGAGAAAGAAACATCGATCAGCTGCCTCCTGCACACCCCCTACTGGGGATGTGCCTGCAACCAAGGTATGTGCCCTTGACCGGAATTGAACCTGGGACCTTTCAGTCTGAAGGCCGTCGCTCTATCCACTGAGCCACACCGGTTAGGGCCATTCCCTCTTCTAATAGGCATTTATCTGGCACCTGCTGTGTGCCAAGCAGTGTTCCGGGCAGAGGGCATCAGTGGAGCAGCTGCCCCTGTGGTGCGTGCCATCTCCTAAGGGAAGAGAGACAAAGCACAAATAAGAAAGATGATATTTTACAAAGTAAGGGGTGAGGGGAAAACAGCAGGAGGGTCGGGAGTATAGAGGAGCAAAGACTTGAAGGAGGTGATGGGACCACGTGGGTTCCAGGGAAAGGGAACAGCAGTGTAAGGGAGGCCGGTGCGTGGTGTCTGCAGAAAGCCAGGGACACCGGCGGGATGGGGCCAGGGAGGGACGGAGGGAGGAAGAGAGAAGGGGCTGCCTGAGGCGTGAAGGAGGGAGGCAGATCATGGGCCCCTGCAAGGACTTGGCTTTGACTCAGTAAAATGAGCCATTGCAAGGATTTTAACGGAGATCTGATCTGATGTTAAGAGGATTTTAGGTGGAAGCAGAGATGCCTGAGAGGAGGCTTTGGGGTGAGGACCCTCCCGAGCCTGTGCTCCGTATTTCCCATTGGCAAGGCCAGCTCGGACTCCTCGCCTCTGTGGTAGGCTTAGGCGTGGGCCAGCGTTTGCCACTGCTCTCCTGCCTCCTGCCTCCTGTCTCCTGTGCTCCAGGCTCTGTTCCCATCCAGCACCAAAACTGTGTGAGCAATGCCTCCAGGCCCTTCTTCAGCCCCGAGCGTCCGAGTCACATTTGCAAAGGGCTTTTGAAATATATCTTATTTCAGTCATATGAGTCATGTGGCTGACTCATGGCATTGAACAATACGGACTTGTCTAAAGTGGTCTCCCTCCCTCTCCCCAGGAGAAAGCAAAGCACCATGTGTGTTCTCCGATATTTTCCCCTTTGCCTATACAAAATAAACACAGACTCTAAAAAGCGGATTACACTGTGCACAATGTTATGCATCTTCATGTTATCTGCCCAGGGACGTTTTTCCTGGCTACCTCCCGGGGGGACATTCAGGTGGTTTGCAGAAGAAACTGCGTAAGCATGCAAAATCAAACACATAGGCCAGCAAATAATTAAAAAATAAAACGAGTTGAAAGGCGGCAGAAACCCATGTCTGAGTACCCCAGGTGCCCATTTTCAGTCCTTTCCTGCGCGGCTCCAGCCCCTGGGGTCCGGGCCATTAATAGCGCTGTCCCCCTCGCTTGCCTGGCCAGGGCGTCCCCTCTCCTCAGGTCCTGGCACCTCCCTTAGCCTCCCACTGCGTCCCCTTGCACTTGGCCAAGTCTCCCCTCATAGGCAGTCCCTCTCCTCGAGGCCGCCAGGGGGCGCCCAGCCCGGGCCCAGCGGCCGCAGCTCCGGGGAGGGCGATGGGCGGGAGGAGGCGCCACGAGGGCTGAGCAGCTCCGGGCCGCGCCCGCAGGAAACCCGACGCCGCCGCCGGTGGCGCCCCGCTGCCCTCCACGGCCTGGCCTCCTGCCCCACTGACCTGGGATTGCCAGGCAGCACCCGCCCTGCGGCACAAAACGGGGTGCTTCCCGACTGACCGCTGCCCACCTTTTCCGAACGGGGTCACGGGAGTCAGCGCCGCCCGAATGACCTCATTCCCCGCCCCCCGCCCCGGGACCTCCACCCCCCACGGCCTGCGGGTCCTGCCGCCGCACAGTGCCCTCTGCCCCTCTTGGGGTCGGGCCTGGGGGACCCAGAAAAGGAGGGAGGCAGCCAGCACTTTCTGTGCATCCTCTCTCCCCTCCGAGTCTCTGGACTCCGGCCCCACCCGCCACAGCTCGTGCACCAGCGGGAAGAGTGTGGGGAAGCAGGAGTCAGGGAAGGTTCTGGGTCCGAGAACCTCGGAGGCCAGGGCTTGGAGGTGGAGGACAGAGGAGAGGGTGGGGGCCAGGGGCCAGGGGCCAGAACGGGGCTGCGTGGCAGGAGCCTCTGTGGAGGGTCACACGGGGACAAGCAGCCTGGCCCTGCTCGCTTTGCTGTGATGCTGTGGGTTGAAGCTCATCTGAACCCCCTTAATGTTCCTTCCTGTTCCCTGTGGTCCATCACTCTGGGGTGCCCGATCCACCTCTGTCCTCAAAGGGAGGAAGGATCACCGATGCCACCAGGCCACTGTGCCGACCGAGTGCTGGTGACTTATTTCCTCCTCCTTGCGTTACATTTTTGAACCACCAGAACATTCGTAGTTGCCGTGGATGTGAAATTTGAAATCTGGGTAAGTCCCAGTGTGGCAGCTCATTGGTTGGGGAGCCATAGGCGAGTCACTTACCGGCCCTGAACCCCAGTTTCCTTACGGGAGTACCAGGGCAGCGGTGAGCAGCTCCGAGTGCCTGGTGGGCCGGTTCCGTCTCAGCGACAGCGGCTGCTGCCCACCTGAACGCTGGCGGCATCTGCTCTGTCCCTGGTGCCAGCTCCCAGCTCCTGGCGTTGCGTTTCCTTCATTTTGGTCACCGTCAGACACCTGCAGCAAACAACCAAAAGACCGGTGACAACCACCCAAACTGCGGGTTCATCTGTCAGCCGTGCCCAACTCAGAACCTCCCTGTGGGGAAAGGGGAGAGGCTCTCTGCCTCCGTCCATCCTTGAACGCCACGGAGAAGCCCCTGCCGTGGTCCCTCCTGATTCCACTTTGCTTTCTTTCTTGGCTCTGACACAGAGGGAGCTCTCTCCTCCCGTCAGGCAGAGTGTAAAGCCTTACCTCTGGATGCCAGACTCCTGGAGAAGGTGGGGAATGCGGAGCCATGGAGGGAAGGCAGGCTGGGGAGCTGGCTGCTCTGAGGCTGCTGGCTGCCTGGCTGCTCTGGCCGGTCTGAAATTGGCTCAAAAGACTCGGAATTAGTGGGCGAAGTCGCCCGCACCTCCTCCTCTTACCTGCGGAGGAGAGATCGGTTCCTGGCTGGCCGGGGCAGTGTCATCGATACTGCTGGTGTCGTCGTTACCTTCCACTAACAGATCACTCGACACCCGTGGCCCCGGCGGGGCTGTGCCTGGCGCTGTCCCGGGAGCTGGAGCTCTGACCCTCCCATTGCCCCGAACCCCGGGCAAACTGCTGGGACGCGGTGCCCGGTGACCCAGCGGGACTGGACTGCTCCTGGTGCCCGCCTCCCCTGCCAGGTCCCAGCCGCCTCTCGGCTTCCTGTCCTGGGCGGAGGAGATGAGCTTGCCGCCTGCTGGGAGCTGAGGCAGAGTGACATGCTGCACGGAGCAGGGCCGCGTGGGGAGGCCCTGGAGTGAGGAGCTGGGTGGAGGAGGAGCAGCCCGGGGGTCCGGCCGCCCGGGCTCTGCTGGCGTGGGCTCCCGGGCGGCACCATGCTGCAGCAGATCCTGCACGACATGTACATCGACCCCGAGCTCCTGGCCGAGCTGAGCGACGTGCAGAAGCACATTCTCTTCTACAAGATGCGGGAGGAGCAGCTGCGGCGCTGGCGGGAGCGCGAGGCCTGGGAGGCCCTGGCCCAGGCGGAGGGGCTCCGGCCCCCCAAGGTCAAGCGAGGTAGGTGCCGGGGAGTTGCCGAGGGGCTCCTGATCGGTGCCGGGCTAAGTTCTGCTTTAAGACGGGCACTGGTGGGATGTGAGGCGGGAGCTTGAAACCCTTGTTCTGGGAGCGCCTGGTCCTTGGTCTTTGGTCCAGGTCTGCGGGGCCCCGGGCTGCAGAGGGGGCCGCCCAGGGGCGTGAGGATGCTGGGGAATGGGACGTGCTCTGTCCTGTGGGAAGCTCAGTCCTGGAAGGGCAGCGCCGGGGCCTCAGGTGGTCTGCGATCCCGTTGTTAGCTGCCTGGCGAAGAAGCCGGTGCCGCCAAGCTGTGCGGTCATTCCCTTTTTGGTGTGGGAGGCACAGTGCTCTGGGCGAGGCCAGCTCCGGGCACTGCTACCCTCCGCCCTGCCCTCATGTGAGGGACTTCCCCCCCCCCCCCCCGGGGCATCTGGAAGGGGTGTCAGGGAAGGTCCTGCACAGGGAACCGGCCCCAAATGGCAGGAGCCACTGCAATCAGGCAGGGAGGACCCAGCCCACATTGAGGGGATTTGCCTGCTGCCATGTCTGGTCAAGCCCAGGGACGGGCACCTGTGAGGGAAGGCGCCCTGAGGCCGGCAGCGGCTAGGTGGGGGCCGGGACTCAGGATCTGGGGGTGGCCCTCCGTGCATGTTGCCTGCAGAGTGTGCAGCCCCCGTTCGTTCCTCTCCCCGCACTCCCCAGCAGCCTGATTCTGTTCTCCAGCGTGAAGTGCAGCCTTGTCCAGTTAAGATGAAATCCTGCTTCTGTGCTGGGCATGCTGGCCCCTTGGGCACCTGGCTCCTGCGTTCTACCCCAGGCTCACTGGGCAGTCCCTGCCGTGTGCTACAGGGCCCTTCTCACCCCCCTGGGCAGCTCGCTCCAGCCTCTGTCTTTGCAAGAGTAGTTCTTCCTGTTGGAATGTCCCCCTGCTCTCATCCTCCCACCAAACGCCTTTAGGGCCAGTCCCATCCCTGGGCATCTTTTGGGGACGCTTCTGGCACAGGGAAGTACTTACTCCTCTGCAGCTGCTCTACCCTTGCCACACGGGCATTCACCATCTGCTTGCTTGGCTCCCCCAGGGACTCAGAGACAGGCCTTCCTCCATTGTCTTCCATCCTGGGTCCAGCCCCGCGCAGGCACCGAGCGCGCAGCCCTCCTTCCACACACCATGCAGCGGGCTCCCAGGGGGCAGAGCTGTGACTGGGCTCCGCATGGCTGGTGCCAGGCTGGGCTGACGGCTGGGCTGCGCTGGCAGCAGCATCGTTAGCTGGTTAACAGGCCGCCCTGCCAGGCCCACCCGGCCGGCCCCGGGCCTCACACGGGCAGTGGCTCTTCGGGGAAGAAGACAGATGCCTGGAAATTTAGTTGCAAAAATATTTTTACGACGATTTGTCACACGCGGACATCTTCGTTCTCCTGGATACATTACGCCTCACACTCATTTGGGTTTCTGGTGCAGATGGCTCTTAATTTTCTGACTTATAAAGAACGGGAAAAGAGGAGAAAACACAGAGGACTGTGTGTGTTCCAAGTCAGCATCCCATCCAGATCCCAGCTCTTTGCTTCGGTCCTGCCCGTGGAGCCGTCGGGGCAGATAAGCGGGAGCTCTGGGGCCCGCTGTGCCCCGAAGGCTGAGCAGCCTCCTGCGGCCGGTCCTGATCCCGGAGGCACGGTGCCTGCTTCCCGCTTCCTGTCCTCAGGTCCTGACGCACGTTTCAACCACCTCCCACCTCCCCAGTGAACGCCACGTTTCCCAGCTGCCGCCCCCACGGAACCCTGCCATAGCCCACTGACCCCGTTCCAGGGAAGCCATGGCTCACAGAAGTGCCGCAATCCATCACGTCGACACTAAGAAATGGAGTTGGGACCCGTGTCCCATGACTTTGACCGTTGGGTGCAGTTCCTGATGTTTTTCTATTCATTCGCTTTTGAATTATGACTCAAGTTCAACAGATCACCGGTGCACTCATTCATCTCTTCCTTCGCTCTCTTACCCAACATAGCCAAGTGCTGACTTTGGCCACCTGGACAGAGAGAGCTGTGCAGATGCCGGGGACACAGCCTGAGGGAGCAAGGCTTGGCGCAAAGCAGCCGCATGGTGGCTCAGGGCGGGATCTTTCCCTCTTCCTTACCTTCGTGGGCACTCCCTCCACCAAGTTTGCCCGAAAGGGCGCATCTCCTGTGCCCTGTGGACCTGTGTGCCAGCCCCTGGGGTCCCCTGAGCACAACTTAGTCCTGGTAAACCTGGAAGGACGCTTCGCCGCCTCCTGTCTGTCACCCCAGTGCTGCTTGGCCCTGAGGCCTCCACCCGCCCTCTCTTTTCCCTCCCAGCTCCTCCCAGGCCTTACTGGCTGCTTCTAGGACTGGGTGCTGAGGGCAGGGTGGGGCCAGGCACCCTGTCGCTGTGGGCGTCTGCTCTCCAGTGGAGCCAGGAGAGGGTAGGAGCCAGCACTGGTGATGCACACGGTGCCAGATCCCAGCGCTGAGCCTGGAGCACACATGGGGCCGCACAGACAGACATCGCTGGGGTGGAAGGTGACAGTCATGACGGGAAGCAGCCCTCCCCTGAGGACACGGCCTGTCTCTTGTTTTCACTTTCTATTGGGTGAGGATCCCTGGACGTCCTAAGTGTCGTGGAAGACACACGTCTTCAGTCTAGACACCCTCTCACTGCCGCCACTTTTGCTGCTTTGCCACATTCCCACCGAAATCTGTGTCCTCAGGCTGGGAAGGCAGTAGCATTACGTTCCTGCTGGTCCTCAGCCAGGCCCAGCATGGTGACGACCTTGGCAACCTCTCTCCCTCCTGTGCTCTCTCACCCGCGCAGGAACCCGCACCCGGTCAGGGGCTGCAGCCTTCCCAGCCTCCGGCCCCTTTGCGTGCTCCACTGTCCCCACTTCCCTGGGGCTGAGCCGCTGTGGCCCGGGACACAGGACTCGGGACACTTGTGTGCGAACTGCTGTCGTGACCCAGAAAGCTCCCCTCTGGCCTGTCAGTTCTTCCACGGTTGGCAGTTTCTGTCAGTGTTAGGTCGGTTCCTCGGTGACCACCTCCCTATCCGTCCCTACATTCTTTGCCTGGGAACCAGGCATCTTTCCCACTTCCTCTTCCGTTACTGACCACAGCTACACTCAGGCCTGCACACGGAGCGGCTGGCTTGTTGTCCTCTGTGCTTCTTGCTTACCCAGCCACCCCCATGGAAGCATCTCCACGGGCCTCGTGCTGGCCCCAGCCTGGCCCTGGCTCCAGCCTACGGAGCGCTCTCACGCAGCTGGACCCAGCCCCACTGCCTCTGTTCCCCACAGCTGGAGCCAAGAGGTGGCTTCCTCCCTCCTAGAGTTCCCTCTCCCTGCCGGCTCAGCCTGCGCAGCTCCCAGAAGCAGCCCTGACCAGGGCCTGAGGGGGACACTCTTTTGCATCCTCTCAGTGTCTCAGCGTTAAGCGGCTCCTGCTGCATACCTGCCCAGGCTTTGGTGCCTCGTGTGTGCCTGGCCATGCCCTAAAGAAGCGGTGGGACACAGTCCCCGCTGTGCGGCTGCTTTCACTCAGTAACCATGACAACCTTCCCTGGGGCCTGAGCCCTCCTAGCCTCAGTGTGTGGGTTTCTGTTCCCTTTCCCAGCTTGGAAGTCCTGACTGTAGACATCCTTAATGCAGAACTGTTCTCACACTGAGGCTGTGTGACCCTTTCTCCCAGTGCCCTTTCAACATGCTAATTAGCTCACGCGCTTTCCTTCCTCAGGGGCACAGAACATGCAAATGCCTTTCACTGGCCTCTGCCCGCTCTCCAACCCCGTTTCCACCCATTGGGGTCCCCCTGCTCTTTCCCGAGCCCTCTCGAGGCCAGTACCTCCAGCATCCATTTCCCATGACAGGGTGAGCTTTTCACTGCCTGCCTTCCCAGTGAGCCCCATCCCAGTCTCTTTTCACAGCTCTCTGCCCCGTTTTCTTCAGAGCGAGATGTGATTTTAAGCTGTTGGGTTCATTGTCTCAAGAAATTGCCGAATGAATTCACAGACCAGGGAGGGGTAAGCAAGAGGGAGAGAAATTTATTAAAGCGAAAGTAACAAGGCTCTCGGCAAGTGAGAGGGTCCCTCCCAAAAAGGGGGTTTATATTTCCTGCACTTGTTTTTTATTGGCTTTTCCCCCCCAAAAATTTCCTTCCTGACCACCAGCCAATCTCCTCTTACCCTTGTCTTCCCGCTTTTAGCTTCTGCTCTTGGGTTGGGTGGAGGGATGGGAGGGGTAGCCATAGAGTTGGCTGGTGCATTCTGTCGATCTTGCTCACATCCTGACCATCCTCTTGATCTGCTGACTTCCCTCCCCGAGGCCCTTATCCTAAACTGCCTGATCCTAACTCCTCAACAGCAGATACTTTTTAATAAAAGAGTATCCCTTTTTTTTTAAAACAAAAAAATGTGCTACCATCCACACCACATTTTAGCCATGAGATGCTGTGCAACCTAATGATAGTTAGCACGTTCAAAACTTTTTGTAACCACCACCTACATCTTGTTCCAAAACATTCCTGCATCTGTGAATCTGTCACTTCCCATCCCCCCTCCCCTCAGCACCTTTCTGTCTCTGTGGATTCCTCCTTCTCTCCCTCCTCCCCCTCCTTCCTTCTCCTCTCTCTCTCCTGCCTCTTCCTGCTTCCGAATCAGTTTGTTCAGTTGAGGCTGGTTTCCTCCATGAGCCTGAAAGTACCATGAGACCACGGGTGTTGCTTGCATTGTTTCTATCCGGACTGTGCACGCAGCCTAGGGCTCTGGTGGGTGTGTGGGTGGCCGAGGGAGTAGCTGCCAGGATCTTTGCAGCCTCATGTGTCAGAGGGGCTCGATTGGAGGGACAGGCGTTACTGATTTCTTCTTGAGTGAAGGACTGGGTGCTGTGCTGTGTGACTAGACCTTGAAAATCTTTAGTGAAAGTATAAAAATCACAATTTGTGTGAGTTACAAAATACAATCTGTAATATACAAGTAATGGGCTTTCTGTCACTTC